TTGAAGGGATGAAGAATCAATTTTATTATATTTACATTTTTTTAAGCAATTTAAAATAGAAACAGTTGATTTTATTATTTATCTTTATATTTTTTTGATAATTTTTTTAGGTGATTTCAAAATAAATAGATTATATTCTTATCATATTTTATTTATTTATCAATATTTAGGATGATTTTAGGAGATTTTAGAAAGGAAATAAAACATATTTTTATTATTTTATTATTCTATTTTTTAATAAAAAATTAATCAGTAGATTTTAGTAATATTCTGTTATATTTTTGCAAATTTATATTAGAATTTATTCTTAATAAAATTTTAATATTTGATAAATTTAATAAATAAAATATACTAATTTTATATACTTATTGATACTAAATTACTTATCTAATTAGAGTCAATTGACGTCTAAATTATTATCAAATTAATACTGAATTGAGGTTAATTTTAGTTTGATTTATGATTGAATTGCTTGTCTGATTGAAGTTGATTGGCATCAATCAGCATCTGAATTGTTACTAAATTATAGGTGCGTTACCAACATTAGGTATGTTACTGAGATTCGCCATATTTCAGATTCTGAGAGAAAATGAATATTTCTTTTATAAAAAAAACAAACGAACGTATTTTTATCCCTTATATGTATGAATTTTATGTCACATGTAATGACATAATGCTGATCAAATCACGTGGGTGACAACGTTTATTGATTTGTAATAACGATAAAATAATTTATAATTTCAAATTATCTAAATGTTCCATGCAAAAATAAACAATTACAAAGATACTGTCTTGTCCCTAGATCCAGCAAACAATGTATCCAGGAATAATCCCAAATTATACGAGCATCTGCTCTAATTTATAAGGTGTTGTACCCTAAGTATATAGGTTTGGGTTATTTTGTTGAAGAGATGCATTGGAAGAATTTTCATAAACATACTCTTCACATCTTTTGAATATCGACCACATTCTATCTCTAGAAATGGTCAGTAGGTCACCATTAATGTATGTGATTGTAATGTATTTGGTAATTCTTTTCAAGTTGATGTACATATAATCTAATCACTGCACGTTGCCTTAATTAATATTGGAAAAGAAATTAATAAATAGATAGATATAATATCCCTCTCTAACTATAAGAAATCTAGTTCAAGTGATACCAAACCTTACAGACACTTACATCATGACTATCACCGACACTAATGAGTTCAATCCATGTCCATACCAACAAATAAAAAAAAGTGATTATTTTTAAATAAAACAATCTCTTTGCAATACATCTATACAATTTTCCTACAATTTAGCAATTTCAGGCCAAGAGTATGTTGTAATAAGTGTTCTTCAAAGGGTAAAGTTTGTACCAAACTATTGGACGTGGAACTCGAATGAACATAAGATTGTCTACTTAAAAATTCTCGGTCTTTTCAAAATTTTCTATATACGTTTGAAATACCGTTTTATTTTTATAAAAATATTTTAAGTGAAGGAAGACTGCGCCTTTCTGAAAAATCTATTTTATATTAGTTTACTTTTAATAATTTTACCTAAAATTTAAAATTTTAAACATAATTTTTACCAGAATTATGAACACATATTATCGCACATATTTTGAGATTTACCATCACATATTTCTGGGCACCCTATATTTTACAATAAATTGAGATTATCAAAAAAAAAAAAAAAAAAAAAAAAAAAATTCAGTTAAAAAATGCTTTTCTTATCAAATTGCCAATTATATACAAACTTTCAATTAAAATCTAATCTATTTATCAGCTCACTATGTTCGAAACGTACATTTAATACATCTGGTACATTATTATTAAATTCAAAAAGAGCAGTATTTCGTAAACGAAATTCAGTAGGACAAAAAACGCGGCAACCACCCACAAAACAAACCTTACCAAGATATCATGGAAGCAATACACCGAGCGGCAGTTTTAGCGTAGATAAATTCAAAATTAATAATAATTTAAAATCGCTAAATTCGACAAGGCAACAAAAACGTCAAATTCCGACAAATAAATATATTAAACCTTCAATTCCAGTGTCAAAAAAAACGCGCGGCCATATTCCAGCAAAATTTAAATTATTACCAATTGAAAGTGATGTGAAATTAACCGAAAACAAACACCAGAACGCTTCAGAAACCACCACAAATGATTTGTCAAACAAACAAAAATCTTCGCGACAAGAAAATTTAGAGTTATTAAATCTAAAAGGAAAATCTACTAAATTGGACTCTCTTCATCTTGAGCATTTAACATTCGAATCGATGAATTTAAGACAAGAAGTCTTAGAAGCAATTAGTCAAGGACCATTAAAAGAAGTTGACCCTTTACGACCGACAGAAATTCAAGCTTTAACTATACCAGAAATTTTAAATTCTGAGAGACAACATATTTTATGTGCAGCTGAAACCGGTAGCGGTAAAACTTTAGCTTATCTGTTGCCTATCATTAATAAAATTAAAGATCAAGAAATAAAAGCACGACCATTTCCTTCAATGATTGATGGAAACGAGGACAAAGAATTAGAACAAACACTATTAAAATCATCCATAAGACAATTAAATCGACCTAGGGCCATCGTTCTTTTGCCATCAAGAGAATTAGTTGAGCAAGTTCTTTCAGTTTCCAAACATTTGTCTCATTTTGCGAAATTTCGATCTATAGCAATCACCTCTCACAAAAATCGTCGATTTGTACGTAAAACACTTTTAATGCCAACGGATTTAGTTGTAGCAACTCCAGCAGGGTTAATAGAATACATTGAAGGGAAGAATATTTCATTGTCAGAAACTCGTTATTTGGTTATCGATGAAGCCGATACGATGTTTAATAAAGGATTTGATGAAGATGTCAGCTCAATTATTGAACAAGTTAAACGTTCAAACTTAACACAAGATAATCGTCCATATCAAGTTATAGTGGTAACAGCGACTTTACCGAAAACTGTTAATGAAATGTTAAGTAAAGAGTTACCGTTTATGAAACGTATAACTTCACATTCTTTACATAAATCTTTACCAAATCTTTCACATAATTTTATTGATTTAAAACAATTTAATTATAATAAACTTGAAGCTATCTTACAAATCTTGAAAACCTATTCTACATCTGCATCAACTATGATCTTTTGCAACAGAAAACTAACGGCCGAGCGATTAGGAGCGTTCCTTCACTCAAAAAGCTTACCAGTGATAGGATTATATGGAGACATAGACGATAGAACAACTAAATTAGAATCATTCCGAAATCAAGAGCCTCACGCTAAAATTCTTGTATGTACGGATCTTGCTTCCAGAGGTTTTGATACTACTTTTGTAGATCATGTGATACTTTTTGATTTTCCCACCACTGTCGTGGATTTTCTTCATAGAGTTGGTAGGACTGCTAGAGCCGGAAAACGTGGTAAAGCAACGTATTTTGTTTCAAAGAAAAATCGAGAATTGGCTGAAAGGATTAAAAGAAATATAAGAGATAGAAGGGTTTTATCGTAACTTTTTGGTGTAACAAATCACGTGGTATGACATTCACTCGACATTCCCAAATTTAATTAAATAAATTATATCAGGCATTTGAAATGGTATCTATTATTTGCTATTTATATTAAATATTATATCAGATCTTTACTTGGTTATTAATTTCAAGTCTTTATTAAACCATTAATTAGCTACATCTTTTTAGATATTTTTCTTTATTAGTATCAAGTATCAAGTAAATTTTTATGATTTTGTTTGCTTTAAAATTTGTATTGTAAAATATTGGTGTATTTTTATTTAAAAGGTTAGGTTAAAATATAAATTAATAACTAATTTTTAAAACTAAGGACGGGTCAAACAGGACCGATTTCTAATTTCAGTCCAAAAGACTTTTTTAAAATCGGTTATAATTAGATTTATTTTTTTTGAAAATTTTATTTGTAAATTTTTTACAATTGTAATAACTTATTTAATTATATTATTTCGAATCAAACCTTTCTATACAGAATGTTTCCCTAGCCATTTCTGAATGCTATAGTATATCTAGCTAATTGAAAGGCTTGCTTGATGCAACGCTAGTATCTTGTATCAAAAAAAGCTTTTAACGATACTAATATGAATCTGGAATTTACTTAACAAAATCATACATTGCAATGAATCCCAAGCTTATGTTGACACTTCAAGTGACCGTAAGATAGTAATGGTCATATAAATCATTAGACTTTTTGAAGTTATTGGTAAGTCAAAACTTGATTCTTGTCCAAGAGTTATTAAAATCTGTGGATAATTTGAAAATATTTAGATCAATAATTTATACCTGACGACAAGAATATGATCGATCGGAAGATTCTGATTTATCAACAATGCCTATCACAGTTTTGTTTGACGAAAACCCTTTGATTTTTCAAAGCTAAAAAATAGAGGTTGGCAAATAACGTGTTATTTATTGAATAAAATGAGATTGTACATTTATATCTAAAAACCAATAAAAATATTTATCAGTCGTAGCAACCGCAGTCTTGTCTTTATTAAAATTATGATGGTCGCAAACCATAGCCATGTTAACGCAGTTTTATTACTCAACCACTGTTACATTCTCTCTGTTGTTTTAACTGATTAGCATGGCATAGTATCGACACCTTATTTTATTACAATCATAACTATATTTATTAAATTTATTCATATGATAGTAAATGCAAAGGAGCTTGCAAAAGGTTAAATTTCATTCCGGACTCATAGTAATAGATTTTTAAAAGGCAAAGGTGACATAAGTCATAAAAATTTTATTGAACAATAGTAAAATTACATAGAGATAAAGGTACATGAAAATGATAAAAAATAAAATAAAAAAATAAAAAAAAATATCTAAATAAAATAACTTAAGAGCCGTCACAAGTCTGTAACTGCAAAAGCGTGCGGATAAACCACAAGTTAACAGACTGAAACGTGCGACAGCCCTTAAACTAAAAGTAAGTAATTTAATAATGAAAAGAAGAACTGCAATAAATTGTTTACTTCTCTATTGTAGTATATTCTCTAAAGAACGCCATGAGACCTGAACTTTTTCTAAGCGACGCGCCAAAGCTATGTTCTGTTCTTTGTAACCTTCTATTTGTCTAAGAGATTCTTCATACTTACTACGAATAGCAGCATACTTACCATACCAGTTATTTAATTCTTCTGGTAAAGAAGAAACGCGGTTCAAGGCCTCACGAAGAGTCAAAACTTCAACTAAATAATCATCAAGGAGCTGAGCATTTTCTCTTTCAGCTTGTTCTCTTGCTATTTGAGCAGCAGCTTTGGCTTGTGAATAAATAATATAATGTCGGAGTTTAGATGGACGTACCATTGTAAGAATTATAGAAAAAAGAAAGGTGAAAAAAAATTAAATACAGTCAACCCTCTCTAAATGCACCCCCTTAGGACCATAGTGAAAATTTTAAAAAATGTGCATTTAAAGAGGGTGTGCATTTAAAGAGAAAATTTTTATATGAATTCTATATGCTTGGGACTGAACAAGAGCGTGTATTTAGAGAGAGGGTTTGACTGTATACATATACAAATGCATGCAGATCAGCATAGCGTACATGCTTAATTGTATCACAATTTGCCGATCTTTTTGTCGATCTTTTGCCGATCATTATTTCATTTTATCACATATAAACTAGGGTGGCTTTGAGGCGTCATGCTGCTGCGTTGCGTTTTTTTTTTCTTTTATGGTGTTTGGTTTTCTCGTGTAACATTTGTGACATTGTCGATATGAACGTTAATAAAATTTTGTTTTATTTTATTTTTTATTTTATTTTTTTGATATAATAAGAAAGAGTGAGAAGGAAAGGGGTACGTAAGGGTGTAGTTATTTTATGTATTGTTCCGCTTCTTTTTATACGGGCAGAGTATTTTTTGCTACTGTTTTGAGACGTTTGTACTCTTTGATCATTTTGGGGTCTACCATAAACGTGGTTCTTTCGAGTGCGGCGATTTAGACGTGATCTCAGACACCTGCTGAGGGCTACGTATGCTTGTTCGGTTGAGAATATTTGTTTGTCTAGGCTGACTGATATATTTTTTAGGGTGAGTCTTTGAGTCTTGTGAATGGTTAGGGTGTAGCAATTTTGGAGGGGGAATTGGAATCGGCTGGCAGGGTTTCCATTAATAGTAAAGTGGTTGGTTTTCAGTTTTACTTCTAGGTCAATGATTCCGTTTGGAACGCTGAAGGATACTCAGATAGAGTTTTTGTCTATGTTGATATCTGTGATGACTCCGATAGTTCCGTTGCAAATGTGGGTATTTGATTTGAGGTTTTTTAAGTACATAACCTTTGCCTCTTGTTGTAGTCTGACTGAGGGAGTAGGTTTGTTTTTGATTTGAAGGATTGATTGGTCAAGTTTGTATCCCATTGTTTTCCGTTTAGTGTATCGATAGAGTTGGAGATCATAAATTTTTCTGATATTGTTGGTAGGGTGTTGCAAATTAGGCGGTTGATTTTGTTGGCTATTTCGCAATATCCTACAATATTTGTCGCATTTAGTAGGAGGTCGATTGGTTTGTTTAGATTAAATTGTTCTTGTTTTCTTTGTAGTTTTTGCCAGATTTCTTCTGTTATATTTCCTAGACAGATGTTTTGTAACATATCGTAGAATTCTGATTGGTTTTGTTAGCGGTGGAGTTGTCGTAGAAAGAGGGTAGAATAGTTTCCAGGTTAAGGATTTGAATATTAGGGATCCAGTTATGGGTGGTAATTATGTTAAGTCACTGGTTAGTACTGTACTGATGCCTCCAAGGGTGTGGTGTTGTTGTGAATGGTAGCAAATATATTTGAAATAAAATCTAAGAGTTCTGCGGATACCATTGAGATTTCGTCTATTATAATTGTATCGATTCTTTTTAGTTTTTCTTTTAGTTTGTTATCATGAAATGTAAGAGTTTGGAAACTGTTGTTAGTTGAGATTATTTTTAGGTCTAGTGGATAGTATTTCCGTTGATGTTTTTTGCGGTGACGCCTGTGGGTGTCATTAGGAGGTAATTGGATCACTTGTCTTTTAGTTGATTGATTAATAAGTGAGTGATGTATGATTTTCCGATCTTTGCGGATCCTGTATTGAAGAAGTATGGTCATTGTCATGCATTTCTTCAGCCTAGGTAGTTTTTTAGAGTAGATATCGCATAGTATTAGTCCAGTGGCAGTTGGTAGGTAATGTCTTCAGGGAGGATCGGTGATAGTATTTTTAAGGAATCAAGTTGATTTCTTAGGATAGATGTCATGTTTTTTTGGATTATATTTTCTAGGTTTGATAGTAATTGGTCTATGATTTCAGTATATTTCAAGTTCATTATTTGGTTTATCTGCTAGATTCAGTTTTGTGTATTACGTTAGATCTTCTCTATCTCTTGTGGGAATATAGATGTGAAATGATCATGATAGGTTGAGTAGTTTCCTTTTAATTCTTGCTTACTTCGTACTGGTATATATTTTAATAGTTGTTGGTAAAAATAGAGTTCTCCATCAGTTTTCTTTAGGAATCGGTGGCGTGTTATGATTGGTTTTGTTCTTTGGATGACATAGTTTTTGAGTTTGCCATTGTAGACGTTTCTTCTTGTGGTTTGCCTTGGTCTATTTTTTTGAATTTGATACTTTTTAAAGTATTGGGGGTAGGTGATTCTGTTGAATATTTTTTCTGTTGGTCTATTCATATATTTTTCTATTGGATCCTTAAAATATGGATCTTCATTTTCCTTTATTAGTAGATGGATTGGTAATACCACCTTTGGTCTGCTGTTGGAAGGGTCTGTATTTAGGTATTTTACTTGAATTGAGGAATTGCATATAGTTTCGCCTAATATTAGGAACATGGCTTTTATCGCTCCTAATCTTTTAGCGATTATATGTTCTTTAAATTTGTCATTTTCTGTAATGTTGAAGACGTGAGAGGGTTCCTCTTTAGTTACGTATTTCGTGATATATCTGGCGAATCCTTTGAGGTTACGTATTAGACGTTCATGTGTGCATTCTAGATTAGCAAAGTTTCGGAATGGTATGGTACTACCCATTGGTCTGAGGGTTTTGTACATTTGTAGATGTATCGTCAGGAGTTTTGATCGATGTGTTGTGTTAGAGAATTGTCTTAGAAATCCCTTTGCATTTCTCTTATAGGGAGCAGGTCCGTTGCATTTGAAAGGGTTGCATTGATGAATTTGGTATGCTAGGACTTTTTCGTAGAGTTTTAGTTCATGTATTAGATCTGATAGGTCGGAACGTATAATGTAATCCTGGATCATGTCTTCAATTGATTTTGTGGTCCAGTAGCAGCCATATATATGAGCGGCTTCCCTGTTTTGGAATTCTATTCGGTCAAAGAAATCTGTTATTGTGCCCTATCTGCTTACTTCCTTATTTTTCCACACTTTTTTTTTAGCGATCTGAATCGGTGGATAAAATGGAGGGTAGTATGTAGTGGCCTGTTAGTCGGAATAGTATCGCCGTTGTCAGTTTGTCTTAGTATGTTGTAGAGTTCTGACCATCTACTTTCTGCCATTGATAGTGTAATGAATATTGTTGGAAGTCCGAGATTTTGTAACATTGAGTTGAGATGTAATTCCTTTTCGTGGAAGTAGGAGTCACTTATTCTAATGAATGTAAGAATTGAGATATTCAAGTCTTCGTTTATACGTTTTTTATTCAAATAATTACTTTGTTGAATTAGTTGAATTGGTGTGAGAATTCGATGTGATTCATTGGTATTTCTTTGCCATAGTATACGTTGGGTGTTTTAGTGATGGCGTAGCTTCTCTAGTTATAGGTATTTGTAGGATGGTCAATAGTGATCTATTCTGAATCTATGATCATTGAGTAGTATCATATGCTTGGCGTATTTTCCTAAGATTTCTAATCTGTCTTCGTTTGATTAAGAACGGTCTCTTATATCGTGAAAGTGACCTTTGCCATCGGGGAATAAGTGTGAAAATAGGAGAGGCTCGAGGTTTGAATCGTAGATTGAAATGGGTAAGGAGTTGTCATTGTCGTCATGAACGAATCCAGCCATTAGACGTGAATAGTGAAAGTCTTTGTTGTGGATTTCGTTGGGTAGACTTATAGTTGGTACAATTATGTCATGTTGATTTGCGGGTAGTGCAGAATTTTCATTTGGGATGTGTATAGCGGTTGGGAATGGTTCTGTTAGTTTTGTACCAAATTTTTAGTTTAGAATAGTTCTATAATTACATAGATAGGGGTTGTTTGAACTTAACCAAAAGGCAGCTTGTAGGAGATTGTCGTTGAAAATTTCTTCATTTGGGATATGATTTGGGTTGAGTGGTTGTAGGTAGGCCCCTATTGTGTCAGAGTATAGTGCTAGCATCTTAAAGTTTATTGAGTATCCCATAGTTCCTACGAAGCAATGATACTCTGAGTAATTGTCGAGGTTTGAGTTTCGTCCAAAGGAATAATATAAATAGATGGGGGACAAGAATTTTCTACGGTGTATAGGTACGGCTTCGATTTCATCTGAAATTTTAGCCAATAGTGGAAATTGATATCTATTTTGAGGTTTTGCGCATGAGTTACATGAAGGGATTTTAATGATTTGACGTTTCAGTATGCCATATCAGACTAATACGTTAATTTGTTCGATTTGTTTGATTGGGTAGGTTGTCAAGGAGTTGTATGTGATTCAGGTGGCTTTATTTTTGTATAGTAATTTTCCACAATAGACACAAGGGGTGTCGAAATATTCTTTTAATATGATTGATTGAAATTTGTTATAAATTCGTTGAAAAAGTTCGCTTGGTCTCTATGGATTATTGTCTGGTAATGTAGATGATGTTTGATTTGTTGAAAGATTCAAGTTTGGGATGTTTGTGTTGATGATTGGAATATCGATATTTTGGGGTGATTGGATATTTGTTAGGTTAGTGAATGAATCATCGAAGGATAGGTTAATCATATTTTCAGATAGTATGTCTATGGAATATATATCGTATATGTGATGAGATATAGTTGATTAAGTTGGGTATCTTTTTTTTGTAAAGGTAAGAGGGAGATAAGGTTTGAGATGGAAGCGAAGGAGTTATTTATACGTTTATTCAGTTATTGTTATTTGTTTTATTAAAGGCGATAATTATGTTAATTCTTTTGATTATTCTTGCTTAAAAGCAATCGTACTAATTGGAGATATAGTAGTTGTTTTAGTTTTTTTGATTCTTATTTTTTTGGAACAAGACAATTGTATTGATTTTTTTAAAATGATTAATATTTTTTTTTTTTAGGTCAAGTCGTCTGATTCTGGTTTAATAGATCGATTTATCTTTTTTTTGGAGTATAGAGTAGGTACTAGAAAAAATTGGGTTTAGTATACACAATTTTTTTTTTTTACTTATTAGAGAAAGAAGAGAGGAACAATTAGTCCAGTTTATTCGTGATTGGAATTGTTTAATTTGTTGTTATTTTATTGGTTTAATTTACTAATTTAATTTATGCTATTTAATCAATAATAATTTTATTTTATTTTATTTTTTTTTTTAATTAGAAGAAAGTATTTTTTTATTGATAAAAAAAAAATAATTTGATGAATAATTCGGTAAAAAAAAAGGATAAGATAAAAATAGTAACAAAAAAAAAAGAAAAAAAGGTGGGAGATTGGAAAGAGTAATTTTTTATGTATCTGTATATAAAAAATAGTAAAAAATAATAATAAAGAAAGAAATGAAAAACGAAAAAGGAAGATTTGTGAGTTTTTTTTTATTCAGGCTGCGGATTTTTATTTGAACTTAGCGATTGGGTGTTTGACGCGGCACTTGTCACACTTGAGCTTGATGATTGAGTGTTTGATGCAACACTTGCCATTGCTTGTGCAGAAATTCTTCCTGAAGATTGTTCAGCTGGCCAGGAATATAGGGATGAGACGGATTCTCCAGTTGGTGATTCGATATTCATTGCTATAGACATTGGAAAGAAATTAATATCTTGTATTTCAACTATGTATTCAAGTGTTTTGTTAGTATGGATCATCTTGCCAGTAATCATTAAATTTGAATTTTTTCTGATTCTGGTTGCTTTTTTCTCAATTCGTCTATTGGATTTCAAGTATCTGCATTTAATGCAGAATGTTCTTCCTGTGGGTCCACCTTGTGAACTTCTAGCAAATTCAGTCACGTTTAGCTTAATGATTTTAAATAGGTTGTCACGTTAAGCTAATTTCATTTCTGCAACGAAACCTGTAAGAAAAACAGAAATAGAACTGATTGGCAAATTGTCTCAACCGATATTTATAAGGTCAGCTGCATTTGCTGTCATCTAGATATTTTTGATAGTGAAAGAGAAAATATTTGTTACGAATATTTTTTTTTAATTAAATTAGTTAACTAAATTTATTTACTTTTATAGTATCATGAGGGTCTTTTGGAAGTGCGAATTTTCCAGTAAATCTTAAGATATTTCCATCAGAAAAAAGAGGAATCTATCTTGATACTTGGGAATTTTTAGGAAAAAAAGTAATTATTCATAGTTCTAAGTTTACGTTTGTTTCTCTCCTTAATATAATGATTGCTTCTCTCACAATGTGTTCTGTAGTGTCTCTTTCAATTATTGAATGAATTATACAAATAAGTGTGAATTTCGCTGGCATGATTTTATAGTTTTTTTTTTGAAAAAAATTTGACGGTTATTGGTAATTGGTAATAGTAAAAAGAAGATGGAAGCTTTTTATTTATCATTTTTTTTTTAGTAAGAAAAGGTAACATAAGAGAAACAGGGTTTTTTTTCTTCTTGAGAAAAAAAAAATCTTCTTTGGGAATTTCACGAGAAATTCATCCTTTTTTTTTTTGATAACTTTCGATATAAATTCAGAGAGGATTTTAAATAGGTTGGCGAGATTTTATTTCAGTTATTCATAAATGCATTTGCTTTAAATAGTCAAAATAATCATGGCATATTTTCTTTTTTTCTTAATTAAATTAACTAACTAAAAAAAAAAGTTTAATGAGAAGATTTTTAAAAACGCTACTTGTGTAAAGTTATTTTACGTGGTGTATAGCGTAATTAGATCCTTTTTTTTCTAATATATTGAACCGCTATTCATAAAAGCTGATTGTCAAAGCATAAAACATGAAGCAAGAAGCTTACGCATGAAATTATGCATAAATTTATATAAGATTATGCATACAGAATGAAAGAAGCCATAAAAATAGTAGAAAGAGTTAAACCATATTTTATTATCAAACTAACCGAAAACTGAATTTTTCAGTTAGTATAAACCGTCAAAAAATTATCTGATCCTTTACAAATAGAAGTTAGTATTTCCGATCCTTTATAAATAGAGGTTAAGCAAGTAGGCTTTTTAGCGTTCTTTTTTGTATGCTAAATAGGGTGGCTTTGAGGCGTCACGCCACTGCGTTACATTTCTTTTTCTTTTATGATGTTTGATTTTCTCATGTAACATTTGTGACATTATCAATATGAAAGTTAATAAAATTTTGTTTTATTTTATTTTTTATTTTATTTTTTATATTTTATTTTTTTGATATAATAAGAAAGAGTAAGAAGAAAAGGTATGTAAGAGTGTAGTTATTTTATGTATTGTTCCGCTTCTTTTTATATGGGCAGAGTATTTTTTGCTACTGTTTCAAGACGTTCGTACTCTTTGATCATTTTGGGGTCTATCATAAACGCGGTTTTTTTGAGTATGACGATTTAGACGTAATCCCAGTTCAGATACTTGCTGAGGGCTACGTATGCTTATCTGGCTAAGAATATTTGTTTGTCTAGGCTGACAGATATGTTTTTTAGGATAAGTCCTTGAGTCTTGTGAACGGTTAAGGCGTAGCAATTTTGGAGAGGAAATTGGAGTCAGCTGGCAGGGTTTTCATTAATAGTAAAGTGATCAGTTTCCAGTTTTACTTTTAGGTCGATGATTCCATTTGGAATGCTGAAGGATACTCAGACAGAGTTTGTGTTTATGTTAACATCTGTGATGACTTTGATGGTTCCATTGCGAATGTGGGTATTTGATTTGAAGTTTTTTAAGTACATAACCTTTGCCCCTTATTATAGTCTGACCGAGGGGTAAGTTTATTTTTGATTTGAAGGATTGGTCAGTCAAGTTTGTATCCTATTATTCTCTGTATAGTGTATGATAAAGTTGGAGATCATAAATTTTTCTAATATTGTTAATAGGGTATTGCAAATTAGGCGGTTGATTTTGTTGGCTGTTTCGCAATATCCTATAATATTTGTCGTATTTAATAGGAGATCGATTGGTTTGTTTAGATTAAATTGTTCTTGTTTTCTTTGTAGTTTTTGCCAGATTTCTTTCGTTATATTTTCTAGGCGGATGTTTTATAACATATCGTAAAATTCTGATTGGTCTTGTTGGCGGTGAGGTTATCATAAAAAGAGGGTAAAATAATTTTCAGGTTGAGGATTTGAATATTAGGGATCCAGTTATAGGTGGTAATTGTGCTAGGTCGCTGGTTAGTACTGTACTGATGTCTCTAAAGGGTGTAGTGTTATTGTGAATAGTGACAAATATATTTGAAATAAAATCTAAGAGTTCTGCAGATACTATCGAGATTTCATCTATTATAATTATATTGATTCTTCTTAGTTTTTCTTTTAGTTTGTTATCATGAAATGTAAGTGTTTGAAAACCGTTGTTAGTTAAGATTATTTTTAAGTCTGAGTGGATAGTATTTCTATTGATATTTTATGTGATGATGCCTGTGAGTGCCATTAGGAGGTAGTTGGATCAGTTGTCTTTTAGTTGATTGATTAATAGTTAAGTGACATATGATTTTTCGGTCTTTGTGGATCCTGTAATGAAGAAGTATGGTCATTGTTATGCATTTCTTCAGCTTAGATAGTTTTTTAGGGTAGATATCGCGTAGTATTAGTCCAGTGGCAGTTAGTAGGTAATGTTTTCGGGAAAGATTGGTGATAGTATTTTTGAGGAATCAAGTTGGTTTCTTAGAATGGATGTTATATTTTTTGGGATTATATTTTCTAGATTTGATAGTAATTGATCTAGGATTTCAGTGTATTTTGAGTTCATTATTTGGTTTATCTGCTGGGTTTAGTTTTATGCGTTATATTGGATCTTCTCTATCTCTTATGAGAACATGGATATAAAACAATCGTGGTAGGTTGAGTAGTTTCTCTTTAATTCTTGTTCATTTCGTACTGGTATATATTTTAATAGTTGTTGGTAAAAATAGAGTTTTTCATCAGTTTTCTTTAGAAATCAGTGGCATGTTATGATTGGTTTTATTCTTTGAATGAATAGTTTCTGAGTTTGTCATTGTAGACGTTTCTTCTTATGGTTTGCCTTGATCTATTTTTTTGGATTTTATACTTTTCAAAGTATTGAGAGTAGGTGATTCTGTCGAATATTTCTTCTATTGATCTATTCATATATTTTTTTATTAGATCCTTAAAATATGGATCTTCATTTTCATTTGTTATTAGATGGATTGATAGTACCACTTTTAGTCTGCTGTTGAAAGGGTCTGTGTTTAGGTATTTTACTTGAATTGAGAAATTGCATATAGTTTCACCTAATATTAGGAATATAACTTTCATCGCTCCTAATCTTCTAGCGATTATATGTTTTCTAAATTTGTCATTTTCTATAATGTTGAAGACGTGGAAGAGTTTCACTTTAGTTACATATTTTGTGATATATCTGGCGAATCCTTTTGAAGTTATGTATTGGACGTTCATGTATGCGTTTTAGATTAGCAAAATTTTGGGATGATATGGTACTGTAACAGGATTGGATTGATGGACGTGACGCAGTAGGTTGCAGATCTAAATGTCAGACATATTTGATATATTTGATATACTTGTTATATCCGCCTATGTACTAAAATTAATATAAATAGAGAACGATAAAATCATGTAAACGGTAGTTCGCTTGTAG